TAAAAATCTCCAGGTTTGTACATAAAATTTAATTTTTTTCAGTTTTAAAAATAGGGACAGTTTTTCAGCAAGCTTGAGTTTTTTTGCGTGACTTTAAAATATCTATAATATAGCACTACAATATATGTTTACTATAATGTAATTTGATATATCATAGAAACATTCAGTTTTATCTGCAATATTTGAATTCATAATACTCGTATTCGGTACTTGAATTTTAAAATACTTTTATCAGCTGATGGCTGATTTTTAGATACATCATTTTCAGTTGTATTTCATCTCTTTGAAATATTGTTTCTCACAGCAACCTGAGAATGTTTCGGGAATGGCATTTCATAACGGAAAAAAATTAATGATAAAACTTCTAAGTTACATAACCTATTTTTTAAAACAAAAATTGGCCTTGAAATCAACCTGAATTAAGTAACTATGAAAACTCAAAAAACTCAAAACATAATCAAGCAGGAACGATTTAATTAAGGAAAATTGAAATTATCATTTCACGCTGAAAGAGTTGATAGTGCTGAAAAATATTTTTAATTAATTTACGTTAAGAGTGTGTAAAAATGCTTTAAAATGAAATCGAGACCAAAACCTCAGGTCAGAAAACTTCAAATATCTTTAAAATTAATTTGTTATCAGATCTGAAATTCGGTGGCAAGCTTCTCAATGATATAAGCCACAATAAAATGCAAATAAATAAATATTTTTTGACATACTTGATATTTGTAGGGTATTGTATAGCATTCAAAATACGTTCGAAAATATTAAAGCTTTAAGAAATTCATGTTGTCTATAATCATCTTTCTTCCTATTACAGAAAGTTTCCATGCATCTTCATTGTCCTAATTAGAATCAAAGCTTACATAGTTTTTCTAATCTCTTATGAATTAATATTCATTCATTTCAAAACAATCATTATAGCTTATCTTTTGAATGAGACATAATCTAGATATATATTATAAATGCGGAAGTTTGTGAGGATGTTTGGGCGTCTTTCACGCAAAAACAACTGAATGGATTTTAATAAAACTTTACAGTAATATAGCTTATACATCAGAATAACACATAGGCTATAATTTATAGCATAGGCTATAATTTATAAAGATATTGTTAGAAGTGTCCAAAATATAACTATATTTGTCAAGTAAGTAGGGAAAATTCTGCCATCTGCAAGCAATTCTGGCGTGCGCTGCAAAAAAGCCCACGTCAGCATATGTCAATCTTTTGTTTGTGAAAAAACTCTTTTGTTTTGGCTACGCAAGGCGTTCGCTTCTAATTAATTCCTGTTATCAGCATAATCCGTATTTTTTTTTATTTCAGAATAAAACTAAGTTTTGAAGGGAGAGGTTGTTATAAATCTGTCTTTATTTGAATGTTTTTTGTTATGATTTTATTATGCACATTTGGTAGTAAGAAATTGATCTTTTTTCAAAATAAATGCTTTATCGGTTCCGGTACTTAAAGTAAATAAACTTTCTCTTTCACACTACATCATTTGGATAAATTTTCAAAATTTGTTTTTGGTTAGTAGTTATAATTATAACGCTATAATTTTAATTGAAAAGCAGACATTGCATTTTTAAGTATAAAAATAATTATAACTACTGTACTGTATTTTTTGGAGTGAGTGAATATTAACGTCGCACTCTTCAGCTACACGAGGGCTTTTGACAACGGACCACGTAATTTTGAACCATGGTCAATTGACGTGGACGACAACTGAGCTGGCACCCCCTTCTCCAACTTAGAAGGAATATTCTACTAATACTTAGCAGGAATATTCTTTAAAATCCACTCTTCCAAGAAATATGGCAGCTCGGGTTCTATGATGAGTATTTTAGCGGGGAAGGCGAACAGTTGTGCAGCAGATATGCGTTTTCAGCTGACTTCGTTTTCAGCGGATTGCAAAGATTATTATTTTTGTCCCGAAAAAATAGTTTATGTCAAAATTTAAGTTTCTTATGCTTTTGTATGTTAATGAAGACCTTAGAAAACGATTTGACTACTTATTTTAAGTGAACCGTGTATATAATTAATTTTACAGTGGAATATCTTTAATTAATTTATTAGCTCTAACGGATTAAATTTCCCAAAGTGGAGTATTTCGTTTATGTATATCCTTTAATTTTCAAGGTAGTGATCTAAAAAAAAATATTGCATGAAAAAACTGCAGTAAATCATAATGCGGTTGGATAAACATTAACGTGTATTTTTCCCCTACACGGCGGTTCTTACAAAGCTCTAATAAAGCTCGAGCTATGAAAGTAGCTAGACATTTGCCAACTTGACTCTATCGTTATCATTTCGCTGTGTTTTTCATTGAATCGCCATTATAGCCATTATAATTTAAGAAACGGCGTTGCTTGCGAATATTACAATTTTAACATAAAATAAATACAACAGAAAGTAATATTAATGTATTACACTTTCAGATATAAATTATTTACACTATTTTAAGCGTTCATTACGTAAAACTTTTAACAATGTGTTACTTTTGCTGAGCAGAGATCAGCTTTGGGAGGTATTTTCAAAAATCGACCCTCAAGAGTGTTACGGGGAATTATAAATAAAAAAATCCTTTTTATCAGCTATTAGATCTACATACTTAAAATTTAACAAAGGTGTTTTTTTCCCCTTTCTTTTTGTTTAGCTGAGATATGCAAAAAGCTTTATTTATTTAATTTGCAATTCATGTAAAATTAACTCATTGAAAACTTCTTTATCCTTCAATCTGTGTTGTTTAATTTTTCAGTTCACCCGTGCGAAGAACATGTATACCAGCTAGTAAACTGTAAAAAGCAACATTTATTTTCAAGAAATCTGTATTTAGAAATGTATTCCACGGTTATATTTTCTTTCTTTTTTTTTTCAATCTCGTTTCTTTCAATGAAATTAAATAACATGCAGACATTGTAAAAACAGCTGATCATTACTTTCCTCATCCACCGCATTGACATCATTTTTAAAGACATACAAATATTTTCCCTATATCATTTCTAGCACCTGATTCATCCCGACTGACTCAGTAATTGTTGAATCAAATAAGAACATTATTATATCGAAAATGCATTCCGTTCCCAAAACCCATGGGAACACCCAAACCGTAATTGATAAAAAAAAGAACAAATACAGAGAATATTGAGAAACTACCCTACGTCCCCAAAAAAACTATGGGAAGCAGGCAGTTGGGCAATAAAAAATAACAATCCATCCCACATAACTTAAGCGTTTCGTCATGACGAAAAGAAAACTCCATGCACCATCACGCCTTTCGGAATAAACCCCTTTTTAGTAAAACGGATAATAAAAAAACACACACACACAAAGTTTTACAAGAGGAGAAAGTGGTCCATCCATTGCCGTGGGCAGAACGAAAGAGAAATTTTAGAAAGGGAAACCCCGGTAGCTACAGGGTCCTCCACTTCCTCCAAGTGGTCAGTGACTGTTTCTACCCCATATAGGTCAGTGGGATGTCCTCCCCCCTCTTCCAGGGTTTCCGTCGGCGTTAAAATTAACCGCAGCACCTGTATGTTTGACGAAAGCTGCATCCGTTTCTGTGCATAACTGGTTGGGTCAATGACTGTTGTTCTTAGAGAGCGTTGTTATGGATACGAATTGCATCACACACACATAAACTGCGAGCGAAAAATAATTTCAGTGAGAGTTTGTTTTTTCCCGAGGCAGATGAGTTAGGAGTGATGTGTAAACATTTGGTGTTTGTGTTTTGATGGCTTAGTCAGCATTGGTTTTAATGACTAGTTCAACATTCAAGAACATGAACGTTGGAAAAATAATATTCGAAGCGATAAGGATGGTTTCCTGTTACGTTAAAAAATAACGTAACAAATTCTGATTCTTTTTTAAATAAAAAAAAAAAAATGTGCTGCTATTAATACCATGCATTTTGATTTTGGAATATCAAAAACAATTTAAAATGTTATTCGATTTTGTTCGCCTTTCATCAACATCTCCCTGCGTAAAATATATTCTATTTTTAATGTAGTAAAATTTGATGCCAAAATGAATGTTAACTTTACGCGTTAAAGAGGAAAAAAGAGCATTTACCGTAAAATCCTATGTAAAACGCGCACTTTTAATGCAAAAAGCAAGTAATATTTATATAAAAGGAAGACAGAACTAGAACAGCTTCAGCTCAGTAAAATGTTAAGATCCTCGGGACCGCGTTATACCAAGCAACACATCTAGATACAGAGTCAATGGGAGTACGGATGACTATGCATTGTCAGTCAACAATTTACCACAATTCGTCTTCTGAGCACAGAGGTGTCAGGGCATGTAAGTTGCGTTCAAGCACGTCTAGACGTGTTTCCTTGGTGAGAAATCAGAAAGGAATGGTGACTGGGCCTTATCCCAATTATTTTTTCTACTTCTTCTAGATAGATGTCAGCTGAGATAAGACGAATGCTTTCAAATACCAAAACAAAATTCGAGAATCATAGAATTATTATTTTTTATAAATTATACTTTACAAATCAATTACAGAAACAGTTATAAAATAAACAGTAATAGCAAACGATTTATTGCAAACAAATTTGATATTATAACAATACGTTTATAGATACCAAACAATGTTTTTAAAAAATACAAAATTTATTCGGCTAAAAGCTATTTTAACGACTGCTTTACTTTAAAAAGGTATCCAATGAGGGGATTATGTATTATTAAAAACAATATTTTCCCCCTCAAGTGGAGGAATTACAACTAAAAATTATCTCACAGCATACCAACAGCCACACTGGATACAAAAAAAGTAATGTAAAAAAAATTAAGTCAATTCCTACTTAGATCAACAAAGAAAAATTTTATTTTAGTTACTTTTTACTAAATAATTACAATTAATATAAATATGTATATACATAGGACGGAATCCCAATGTTAAGTGGCAAAATAGAACGCAATTTTCCTTTCTATTGGACAATTATTTTTGAGCTTGTTATTACTCATTCATTCATAAATCACATTCTCAGAAATTAGTCCGCCCCAGGTAGGATTTTAATCTACGACCTTGGGATTAGAAGTCCAACGCGCTACCCGTTACACTTCAGGGACACAACGAGCGATTGTCCTTTTCATGTATGGTGTTGGACTGTTATTTTTGTTTGTTACCATTTATTACTTAATTTTTATCTAATGAATTAATATTTGAAAAACTGTATTAACATAAAGTGTCATCCACTACAAGTTTAAAAAAATGTATTAACTTGAATGGACGAATAGAAAGTATTTTATTAACGATTGAAAATCTGAACAATATATATATATATATATATATATATATATTATATTGTATATTGTATATATATATATATATATATATATTGTATATATATTGTATATATATATATTGTATAATATATATATATATATATATATATATATATATAATATATATATATATATATATATATATATATATATATATATATATATATATATATATATATATATATAAAGGGTGTTTTTAGAGGTATAGAACTTTAAATTGCAATAAAACAACGATGTATTATTCGATTGACATGAATTTTTTTATTCGAAAGATAATCTTGTGGCATTACATTTTAAATATGATCAAGCAAGGCGTAGATTCGTCGAATGGGCCCAAAACGAGATTGCCGTTGTTCCCGATTTTCATAAGCGAATTTTGTTTAGCGATGAAGCGCTCTTCTGGTTGAATGGCTACGTCAACAAACAAAACTGCCGCATTTGGAGTGAAGCTAATCCACAAGTGTATGTCGAAACACCGTTACATCCAGAAAAACTGACTGTTTGATGCGCTTTATGGGCTGGTGGAATCCTTCTTCAAAAACGATGAAGGCCACAACGTTACAGTCAATGGTGATCGGTATAGAGCCATGATTACTAACTTTTCATTCCTGAATTGAACAATCATGATGTCCAGGAGCTGTGGTTCCAACAAGACGGCGCAACATGTCACACAGCTCGTGCCACAATCGATTTATTGAAAGACACGTTTGGTGACCGCCTCATTTCACGTTTTGGACCTGTGAATTGGCCTCCAAGATCTTGTGATTTAACACCACTAGACTATTTCCTGTGGGGCTATGTAAAGTCATTGGTCTGTGCGGATAAGCCACAAACGCTTGACCATTTGGAAGACAACATTCGCCGTGTTATTGCCGATATACGGCCACAAATGTTGGAAAAAGTCATCGAAAATTGGACGTCAGATTGGACTCCATCCGAGCCAGCCGTGGCAGTCCTATGCCAGAAATCATATTTAAAATGTAATGCCACAAGATTATCTTTCGAATAAAAAAATTCATGTCAATCGAATAATACAACGTTGTTTTATTGCAATTTAAAGTTCTATACCTCTCAAAAAACACCCTTTATATAGGGAAATTGTGAACTAATAGTAGGAATTGAATAAGTTCGAAATTTACGGGTGCGCGCGCGTTATACGCCGGTATAAAATGAGAGGTTTAAAAACAAAAAAGATGGTCACATAGAAAAAAAATTAGACTTTTCTACATAGATCGAAATACTATTTCTTTGAAAGAAATAACGTTCCTTTTGAACTTTTTTTTAAAGGGTAGTAGTTCTAGAAGTGTACTATTTTTTACTAAAAAGCTGGGAAAATAATACTTTGAATAAATGACTTCAAAACATAAGAATATATTGCGCACGTGCATTTCGGGTTTCTTCGTAATAATGGAGGTGCGCTTATACGGTGAATAGACTTAAAAACTAAACATTGCAGCTTGGAAGTATATATGCGCGTTATACACCGGATTTTACGGTATGTCTTACCAGTTGAAATACCTGTTCTTCCGACAATTGAATTCACAAAATGAATCTCAGCAATTAGGATAATTTTTATTTAAGTAAAGTTGCCAAAACTGAAATTTAATAGTTGACAAAATGCATTTTTTTGTGACTTATTCAAAAAGAATTGTAATTCTGCGGCCAAAAAATGAATATAACTGCCAAGATGGATCGTGGTGATGTGTTATGTAATGTGTGTAAAGCCATAAGAGATTAATCCCCGTAATAGAAAAGGAAAATAGAGGAAAATATTGCGCATTGATAAAGTAATTAAAAAAAATTGCAAAAAATCCATAAATACATATTATTTTTCCCCTTATTTTTTTTAAAATCGGTCAATGAATTAATTCATCCTGTATATTGTCATGGTACTGAATAGTTTGAAAAAAAATACATTTGTGGCTGAAATAATTTTAAAATTTAAAAAATAGCAACCTGTTGCTTTTTAGGGTATTTTCAAAAATTAGTCAAAAATTGGCTAGTTAATTGACCTACCTTAAATCGTAAGTGGACAACCTTTTTGTGAAGAATACCACTATCTGATAAAAAAGATTATACGTGATACTTCCAACTTTTCCAACAAAAAATACATGAACAGGGGGATCCTACTTATAGGCTTAATTTAATTCAGTGGTACAACAGCCCATGAGGGCCAATGCCTACTGTGCCCAACTCAGTATACGCAACCTTGGCCCTTGAGGTGCATGAGCAGATGTTCCGGTCAGGTGGTCAGTCTGATGCAAAATCCCCAGCATTAAGCTCCCAAGTAAGCTTGGTACCCGTTTATCGACCCACTGAAGGGATAAAAGGCTGAGTCAACCTTGCTCATTCCGGGGTTTGAACGTCGGACCTGTGGTGTGGAAGCGCGAGGCACTAACCACTCAGCCACTGAGCTTCACTTATAGGCTTATTATAGGATTATTATGCAAATAGCAAATTTTTAATGCAAGTCTAAGAAATATGGAAAATTAAAAATAATATAACAAATAAGACAAAAGTACAACTTAGATTTTATTGTTAAACTTTTTAAGGATTTAATGAGTTAGGTTAGCTATATTAAAAAAAATGAGTATAACTCGAAACATTTAATTCTAAATAATTATTAATTAGTCATTACTGCTTTAATATGGCTTTTGAATTTGTAGTTTTTTTATCAAGTCATCTATATTACAATTACTTCTGTCGAAGTTGCTAACAAAACTATGTTGTCTTAGAAAGATATCAATTTTGAGAGATATTTTGATTTTATTATGTTCACATAATACAAAGCATTTGTTCTTAAACATATATTGATCCAAACCTACAACAATATCTGACAGAGAAATCGTGTAAATTTGGAAAATGGCTTGTTGAAACAAATTTCCAAAATTCAATGTAATTCTGGTCACTTACAGTTGAAATAAATTCCTCATGTTTGCTTTTCAGCGTGGTATAGTGTTGTAGGTCAATAATTTTTAATCGGATTTCAGGTGTGTAACAATAAATGTCTTGTAAAGTTATTGAAAATGGATTTGTAAAAAGAACAGCCCCTTTTTTTATCATCTTAAAAATTATCAAATCTAGCATTGGATGAATTCTACAAAACAGATAGTAAAATTTTAAATCTATCGTAGCTGTGAGTCTTTTTAGCTTTGGTAGAGTAGATAGTTCATGTGTATTAATCTAAAATGTGTTAATCTTTTCTCTCCAGAATCGAAACAAAAAAGAAAAAATTTGTATATAAAAGAAGATGGATGAGAGAGAGACAGAGAGAAAGAGAAAGAGAGAGACTAACTAGGGTAGAACAAACACAATTTTTTCCCCTGTAATCCTAAAATTAAATTATTTAAACGTCCCATAGCTAAATTTCCATAGCCAGTCTTCTTTTTCAATTCCTACTTTTAGTTCACTCTCTCCCTATATACAAATATAAATATAGCTATATCTTGTTCAAATTATTAATAGTTAATAAAGTATATTCTATTCATCCATTCAAAATCAAATACATTTTTCTAAGATTGTAGTGGATGACACTAGATATTGATACAGTTTTTTCAATTTTTAATTCATTAATTAAATTAATAAATGAATAAAAAGTAACAAACAAAAACAATAAGCTAACATCATATATAGAAAGGAAAATCTTTCGTTGTGTCCCTGTAGCTCAATGGACAGCCCGTTGGATTTGGATCCAAAGGTCGTGGATTCTAATCCCACCTGGAATGGCCTAATTTCCGAGAATGTGATTTCTTTTTACTGTAATATTTTATTAGAATAATTAAATTTAATAATTGATTAAATAGTAACAAACAAATAAAAAGTAGTCCAACACCCTATACAGAAAGGAAAATGGAAAATTGGAGGGAATATCCCTTTCTACTTTGTCACTTAATATTATAATTCTATTGCAGTAGCGCGCACAGGAATTTTTCAAGGGGGGAGGCGGAGTCGAAAGTTCACCATTCTTGTATCATGCTCCTTTTGATTTTGTCGATTTTCGAGAACAAAACACAATAAAAAACTAATTTTTGAATAAATAATTAGCATTAATTATAAAATTAATCATTCATAACAAGTAATTAATTAAATTTTACGTACTATATACTTAGAATTATGATCAATCGGAAAAAAAATCAAGGGCTTTGGGGGGTATGGACCTCCAGACCCCCCCCCTTGTGTGCGCCACTGTTATATTGGGATATTTATATTAATTGTAACTATTTAATAAAAAGTAGCCCCAATAAATTTTTTCTTTGTTGACCTAAGTAGGAATTGGCTTAATTTTTTTATATATATTACTTGTTTTTCAGTAGCTGGGTATTTCATTGTTTTCTTCCAGATATTTTTAAAACACGCTGACTCAAATTCCTAAATCTTGTGAGTGCTTTTCCTTTAGAAAGCCAGTGTGCACAACAGATAGAAATATCAAGAGTATTCACTAAAAGATATTTTTCTATTGCAATTCAATTAATTAAGAGTATAAAATAAATTCTGAGTTACATGTTTATTTTATCTATAAGACAACTATCTTTCAATAAAACTGTAAAAAAATTGTTACTTACTATTATTTTTTCAAAATTTTTAATTTTTCCAAAAATTCTTCGCGTGCCACTGTTACAACTCCTCTGTGTCACGGGTTGGCCACCCCTGCCCCAAACAAAGTTAATCTTCTAAAAAAATTGGATCTCTGGATCAGATTGGACAATATAATTAAAATTCTCTAACATTTCGCTACAGAGCATGACCTCAATGTATGCTCAAAATCGCTTAACATGGAATTTTGT